ACGCGGCGCCGCCGGCCGGAGGAGCCCGGGGCGGGGGCTGGCGGGAGGCGAGAGACCGCGGTCCAGGCGCGCCGGCGCTGGGTTTTGGCGGGGTGGGCGACGACTGGGTTTGGGTCAAAGCCTTGAGGAGGAGAGAGGAAGGAAGGCTTGCGGGGCGGTTGCGGGGCGGTTGCGGGGAACGGGTTTAAGAATGACATGAGGATTAAGGGGAGAAAGGGTTCGAAGGCAGGAGACAAGCCAGCCTAGGAGGCAGAAAGGAGGCAGGAACCGGGGAGGGTGTTAAGGAAGCCGGGCAAGGAACGAGGTTAGGAAGACCCGGGTTTGGAAGAGGCATCCTGGGCTTAGGTGTAAGAGCAAGGGTTTGAAGGGGAAAGCTTTGCAGGGGATGGTGGTGGGGTGATGGGTGCCGAGGTTAGAGTTGGAAGTGGGCGGCGAGGAGAGGCAGGGCTGGGGTAGTAGTTGGGAGCAGAGGAGAGAGAGTGATTAAGAGCCAGACGTGACAAGGGTGTGAACTAGTGCCGAGCGAGATGAGCTGAAGGACCAGGACTGGCGGTGGGTGGGAACTGCGAGGTTCTGAGAAAGGTAACGGGTTAGTGGTGGGCAATGGGTGTAAATTCTCGAAAGTGCAAGAGGGTGAATGAAACACTGGACTAGTACCAGGTGGAGTTCGGAATAAGAGCGTAGTGGAAGGGTGCAAGGACACAGAGATGAGAGCTAGGGCGTTTATAGGACAACTCGGGGACCAGAAAGGCTGAAAGAAAAGAGAGGACGGGAGTAAGAAGTGATGGCGGTGTGGGACAGGGTGACTGCGGGGATGGTGCTAATTGATGAGGTTCAGCAAGATCCGAGGTAAAAATAGTGAAGAGATGGGGCTGAGAGCGAAGGGTGAGAGGAGCAAGGCAGAGACGGGGCCCGGGATGTAAATGATGAGAAGGGGAGTAAGGGAAGAGAACAGGGTTCAGGAAGACCAGAGGCATCCTGATGGATGCAGACCTGGGGTACGGTGCAGAGGCGGGGAGTCAGGTGTGCACGTTGCGGGGAGAGACTCCAGAAGGGCTGCCTGGGTCAGGGCACAGAGGCCGCAGGGAAGGAGCGAGTGTAGGGAGCCTTTGGTGCAGAAGAGGAGGAACCATGGTGAGTGAAAAGAGACCCAGAGGTAGGGGTAAAAACTAAGTCGAGTGGGGAGGAGTTCTTTGTGGAGAAGAGAACTGTGTTGAAACTGTCTCGAGTCCTTTTGTCCATAAAAGTAGGAAATTTCAGAAACCTCTTTCTCCAAGGAATTTTGAATCTGCTTCTACCTTTCATTGTTTTTAATTCGACTCTTATGTCCACTTTGAAGAGATGAGACTCATTTGATTTGATACTGTTCTTGTCTGAATGATAAAGCATCAACTCGGTGCTGAAAACCTCTGCATTTCACCGGGGTTGTGATCTTGGGAAAACTGGGGTGCTTTTTTTTTTTTAACAGGGTGGCTGTGCC